TGTATAAGAAATACTACAAGAATTAGGGTATTTAGAGACAATTTTTTTGCGGTGGTTGTGTTCACTGTCACAAAAAATATGCTCTAGGGAAAAAAAAAAGTTTTTTATGGTGATAGTACTACTATAAAAAGTTTATTTGTTGTAGCAAATAGTGTTTGAGATAGGTTATTGTCGCCACAAAAACCCATCCGTAATGCTCCATGTTTTTTTTTTCTGCAAAAAACCTTTTTTATTTCTTCAAAACATGTTTTGTTTTCTTCAAAACAGAACACCCCAATGTTTGAATATTAAATTGAAGAACAGTTGGTGTTAATTTGAAAATATTTAATCTTAAATTGTTGATCAAATACTAATTGGTGAGTTTGAAAGCTAATTTGATGAATATCTGTGATTAGGACAAGTATTGGAGTTTTAATTTTGGTTTTGCCACCAAGAAATTCTTCATCATAAAAAAACTGAAACGAGTAGGAGATTTTGACGCATTGAATCATATCTATGGAAACTTCTTCTGACTAGTGGCTCGGTGTGGTTCCATTCTTGTCTGTTTTCTATGTTCTCTCCTTTTTCGTTTCCTAGAACTCGGGAGTCCACAAAAATTTAAAAATTATTCTTTTAAAATATTGATCGAAACTCGTGAATAGTATCTTTGTCTATGGAAACTTCTCCTGACTAGTGGATTGGTGTGGTTTACTTCTTGTCTATTTATTTTCTATGTTCTCTCCTTTTCGTTTCAAGATTCTAGAACTCGATAGCCAACAAATATTGCCTAATAAGAAAACCGCCAGCCCTTCTTGTCTATTTGCTTTTAATTTTTTGTGTGGCTTTTTTGGGTACTTTTAATCAAGGATTAACATTTTGTTTCGGTATATTATTTCAGTCACTTAGAAAACAAAAATATTTCAATCTACTTCAAAAACAAAATGAAAAAAAATATTTAAGAAAATATTGGTCAAAATATACCGAAAGGGTTCATGGACATCAATAGTCGAGTATTTACACAAATGGAGGATAAGGAATGGCCTAATGACCACCACAATTTGCAGTTAAACCGTTAGGTCACAACAACCAACGACTAAGAAATAGTGAACAAATTTATCTCATAAATGAACGATAAAAATTGACATAAAACCTATTTCATGATTATTCAACGACTATTGCATGGGAAAATTATATTTTCACTCTGTCAACTATAACGCGATCTCACTTTACCCCTCAATTGTTAACTTCCTCATGTTACTCTCTCAACTATTTGAATATGCTTTACATTGGATCAATACCAATCATCTGTCATATTTTGGATAAAAAATGTCAAAATACATAGTATAATATAGACTTTCAATGTCTACAATTTGTGCAATGTAATGTAAGTTGATAGTTATATTTGACGGTACAAATTTTAAAAAAGTAATAGTTGGGGGCCAATGTGAAATCAATAATCTATTTTGAAGTGCTAAGAAACATAATAAAAAAAGAGGCCGTGTGAAAAATGACATAATTGAGCCGTCAAAGTGTAACTTTTTATCTTTTGTATGAAATTAAGTGATTGTTGTCTCAATTGTCAACGATTTTCCACTATAAATACAGAATGCACCTTGTCCCTTTGCTTCCCATGCAACTTTTATCCCATCCATCATCTGAATCACAGAGACACAGAGAAAAACCACAAAAATGGCGACCACTATCAGTACCAACCCAGACCAACAGTACAACAGACTTGAAGAAGCAAATAAGTTAGATGAAACCAAAACTAGAGTCAAGGGCCTCGTCGATTCTGGCCTTACCACCATTCCTCGCATCTTCCACAACCCACCCCAAAACCCGCCCAACCCAAACTTCAAAGCCCAAAACCCCAAACTATCACTCCCCATTGTCAACCTCTCTGGCTACCGGTCAACGGTGGTTGATCAGATCCGTTGTGCCGCCTCAACCTTTGGGTTCTTCCAAATTATCAACCATGGCATACCAAAAAGTGCCATGGACCATATGGTTTCATCTATCAAGTTGTTCCATGAATTACCAGAGACCACTAAGATGCAATATTATAGTAGGGACACGTCTCGTGGTGTAACATACTTTACTAACTTTGATTTGTACAAATGCAAGGAGGTTAATTGGAGGGATTCACCGGAGGTCCACCTGAGACCCACACCTCCGAAACGAGAGTACGTTCCGGAGGTATGCAGGGAAGCATTGGTAGAGTGGGATGGCGAGGTGGTGAAGTTGGGGGAGGAGTTGATGGGGATGTTGTGTGAGGGCTTGAGGGTGAAAAGAGAAAGGTTAAAGGAAATGTCATTTTTTCATAAGAGGAATATGTCTGGACATTACTATCCCTATTGTCCCCAGCCAGAGTTGGCTGTGGGTCTTAAGTGGCATACGGATCCAGTGGTGCTGACGGTGTTGTTGGTGAATGAGGTTACTGGGTGGCAAGTGAAACATGGTGAGGATTGGATTGATGTNACGAGTCTTTAGTCTAAAGATATCATTTGTCTTATGAAGGTTTTGTTTTCTTGAAGTCAAAAGTTTAAGTCCCTCAGGTGATAAAATCATGGTTGATTGATAAAATAAACCTTAGTTGTTTGGACGAACCATATCCAACCAACCAAGTGTATGGTGTTAGTTCGAATCTCTACCAAAACGCAAGTTTTGATTTAATTGATATATGAATTGAAAGACCGATTCATACACCCTGAATTTGTCCTATATTTAATTTGGGCTCATGAGCATCAGTGATATAAGTACGTCTCTACTCGTCAGAGACAGGCTAGATATTTTTTTCGTTATCCGAAAAAAATCATTGAATTGGGTATGAGTTTAAACAAATACTCGAGTTCATTATCAATTCAATGATTATGAATAATTAAATTAAAAACATTAGGTCCAAATAACATTACCCAAAACAATTATATAATTTCAATGTATAATTTCATGGAGAACCCCGTCGGTTCCACTGTGAATTAATTGACTAGCTTTGGTGTGGGAGATACGGTCATGTGGCTTGCTCTTCAAAGGCATGAAGCAGGCTCATCTTGTATTGTTTGGATACATGCTCAATTCCAATTTGGTGGCTGCCAAAATGTGGGTTTTTTAGTGACCCTATTTCAAAGTGTATGACCACGTGCAATGCTTAATATTTGAATTTGAAATGCATGTTAAAATCGTGCGTGTCTAAGACAAAGTGCGTAATAATTAATAATATTAGAATCGTTGATTCTAGTAATATGAAAACCACGTAATTTGAACTTCTTTTATTCTCTCTAGTCCAATGGGGTGGTATATCAGGACGGTAACAAGTAAGGTGAAAGTCATCTTTATCACCTAGGTCGGGGCGGCTTCTCAATTAAAATATTGCCCCTAGTCTTAGTTCACTTTAGGCAGTGGGTGGAGTATTTTATGAGTTTGAGTTTTGGACCTTCAATGTATAAGAAATACTACAAGAATTAGGGTATTTAGAGACAATTTTTTTGCGGTGGTTGTGTTCACTGTCACAAAAAATATGCTCTAGGGAAAAAAAAAAGTTTTTTATGGTGATAGTACTACTATAAAAAGTTTATTTGTTGTAGCAAATAGTGTTTGAGATAGGTTATTGTCGCCACAAAAACCCATCCGTAATGCTCCATGTTTTTTTTTTCTGCAAAAAACCTTTTTTATTTCTTCAAAACATGTTTTGTTTTCTTCAAAACAGAACACCCCAATGTTTGAATATTAAATTGAAGAACAGTTGGTGTTAATTTGAAAATATTTAATCTTAAATTGTTGATCAAATACTAATTGGTGAGTTTGAAAGCTAATTTGATGAATATCTGTGATTAGGACAAGTATTGGAGTTTTAATTTTGGTTTTGCCACCAAGAAATTCTTCATCATAAAAAAACTGAAACGAGTAGGAGATTTTGACGCATTGAATCATATCTATGGAAACTTCTTCTGACTAGTGGCTTGGTGTGGTTCCATTCTTGTCTGTTTTCTATGTTCTCTCCTTTTTCGTTTCCTAGAACTCGGGAGTCCACAAAAATTTAAAAATTATTCTTTTAAAATATTGATCGAAACTCGTGAATAGTATCTTTGTCTATGGAAACTTCTCCTGACTAGTGGATTGGTGTGGTTTACTTCTTGTCTATTTATTTTCTATGTTCTCTCCTTTTCGTTTCAAGATTCTAGAACTCGATAGCCAACAAATATTGCCTAATAAGAAAACCGCCAGCCCTTCTTGTCTATTTGCTTTTAATTTTTTGTGTGGCTTTTTTGGGTACTTTTAATCAAGGATTAAAATTTTGTTTCGGTATATTATTTCAGTCACTTAGAAAACAAAAATATTTCAATCTACTTCAAAAACAAAATGAAAAAAAATATTTAAGAAAATATTGGTCAAAATATACCGAAAGGGTTCATGGACATCAATAGTCGAGTATTTACACAAATGGAGGATAAGGAATGGCCTAATGACCACCACAATTTGCAGTTAAACCGTTAGGTCACAACAACCAACGACTAAGAAATAGTGAACAAATTTATCTCATAAATGAACGATAAAAATTGACATAAAACCTATTTCATGATTATTCAACGACTATTGCATGGGAAAATTATATTTTCACTCTGTCAACTATAACGCGATCTCACTTTACCCCTCAATTGTTAACTTCCTCATGTTACTCTCTCAACTATTTGAATATGCTTTACATTGGATCAATACCAATCATCTGTCATATTTTGGATAAAAAATGTCAAAATACATAGTATAATATAGACTTTCAATGTCTACAATTTGTGCAATGTAATGTAAGTTGATAGTTATATTTGACGGTACAAATTTTAAAAAAGTAATAGTTGGGGGCCAATGTGAAATCAATAATCTATTTTGAAGTGCTAAGAAACATAATAAAAAAAGAGGCCGTGTGAAAAATGACATAATTGAGCCGTCAAAGTGTAACTTTTTATCTTTTGTATGAAATTAAGTGATTGTTGTCTCAATTGTCAACGATTTTCCACTATAAATACAGAATGCACCTTGTCCCTTTGCTTCCCATGCAACTTTTATCCCATCCATCATCTGAATCACAGAGACACAGAGAAAAACCACAAAAATGGCGACCACTATCAGTACCAACCCAGACCAACAGTACAACAGACTTGAAGAAGCAAATAAGTTAGATGAAACCAAAACTAGAGTCAAGGGCCTCGTCGATTCTGGCCTTACCACCATTCCTCGCATCTTCCACAACCCACCCCAAAACCCGCCCAACCCAAACTTCAAAGCCCAAAACCCCAAACTATCACTCCCCATTGTCAACCTCTCTGGCTACCGGTCAACGGTGGTTGATCAGATCCGTTGTGCCGCCTCAACCTTTGGGTTCTTCCAAATTATCAACCATGGCATACCAAAAAGTGCCATGGACCATATGGTTTCATCTATCAAGTTGTTCCATGAATTACCAGAGACCACTAAGATGCAATATTATAGTAGGGACACGTCTCGTGGTGTAACATACTTTACTAACTTTGATTTGTACAAATGCAAGGAGGTTAATTGGAGGGATTCACCGGAGGTCCACCTGAGACCCACACCTCCGAAACGAGAGTACGTTCCGGAGGTATGCAGGGAAGCATTGGTAGAGTGGGATGGCGAGGTGGTGAAGTTGGGGGAGGAGTTGATGGGGATGTTGTGTGAGGGCTTGAGGGTGAAAAGAGAAAGGTTAAAGGAAATGTCATTTTTTCATAAGAGGAATATGTCTGGACATTACTATCCCTATTGTCCCCAGCCAGAGTTGGCTGTGGGTCTTAAGTGGCATACGGATCCAGTGGTGCTGACGGTGTTGTTGGTGAATGAGGTTACTGGGTGGCAAGTGAAACATGGTGAGGATTGGATTGATGTGGAGCCTGTCCCTGGTGGTCTCATTGTCAACATTGGTGATATGCTTCAGGTAAGTCACTCAATCACATGAACGAAGTGGTTGTGCCTCAGAAGGTAGGACAACCATTATTAATCTGTGTACATGGAAAAAAAAAAACTACATAACATCTACAGTCAACAACAAAATTCGATACAACATTACTTCGGTACTGTAGTGCTCTCCTATTCTCATAATTACTCAACTCTCTTTTGCACATGATGTCCAATGACAAATACAAAAGTGTGGAGCATCGAGTGTTAGCCAACCCCCATCGTGAGCCACGTGTCTCAATTCCAGTTTTCTTCACTTCAAGCAAGACAGAGGACTCGTATGAACCATTGCCAGAACTGGTGTCCTCGAAAAAGCCAGCTATTTATCAGAAATTCACAATCTTAGACTTCATGAGCAAATACTACTCAGAGGAGTTGCAGGGCAAGTCTGTGACGAATACCTACAAACTCTCGAACATATAAGTTCTAGTATTTGACATATAAGGAAGGAAATCATATATGATTTGCTTAAAATATTACAACAAAAGATTTCCTTAATATATATTTTATTGTAATGTTTAAAAGAAACAATAAATAAAACAATGGGAAAATGACACTTTTCCCTCATTAACTATGGACTCGATTGTACTTTGTCTCTTGAATTATTAAATTTTTTATATTGTCTCCTCAATTACTTAAATTATTTCACATTACCCCAAATAAGAACATTCACTATTTTTTTGGGAGAAAATTGCTAGCATGTTAGGGCAAAGTGAAAAAAAATCACACAATTTAGGTGACAAAATTAAATAATTTTTTGTCAAATTTGTATCGGATGTTAATAATTGGGGAGATGTAAGACTGATCACATAGTTGAAGCTGTAATGTGAAAAAATGATGGTTGAGGGGTATGTAAAGTTAACTCATAGCTGAGGGGGTAAAAGTATAATTTATCCTACAGGAAAACAAAATGCTATGTAAAAAATAATGGGATTAAAAAATTGCGAAATACTACTTTTGGATACCGTTACTCCACTTTTCATCCAATAAAAATGCGCCACATGTAATTTTTTTGTTTTTGTTTTTGTTTTTGTTATTGTTATTTTTATTACTTTGTGATTTATTCAATAAATTGTTAAAGACCATCCAAATAAAAATTAATTATCCGGACAAATTTTTGGCACGGTACAACCATTGTTAACATTTCACATGATTGTCATCTTTTTATTTTTAATTGAACTTTTTATGACTTTTTTGGACTAGAAACCTTCATATGCATTGACTTGGAGAGTCAATAGTTCTAATCTTTTAAAGGGAACAAAGTGAAGAATTAAGTATTTCGAAGATATAAAACGCAATTCATGGAAACTCCAATAGCCGGCATGCTACCAAGAAAACAATGTTTCAAATTTTAGTGAAAGATAAAGATAGGGAGGCTCAATAAAATTTGGGGCTCTAAACAAAAAATTTTAATAGGGCCCTTACAAAATGACTGTTTAATTATTAAATCTTCTCATGAAGTTATCGTGGTTTTTTATCAACAAATTTATCAAGGATTTTTTCTAATATTTAATTAGTTCATCCATCTTTCTCCTTTTTTTTTTTTATCGTTTCTCACATCCCGGTTCATCTTTACTAGTTAATAAATTCATGATTAATAATTCTTGTTAACAAAATAAATCTCAGCACAAAAAATGACTACTAAAATTCCAAAATCAATTATATTACAACGCTCCATAAAAATAGAACAGTAGCATGTGATGTGTTCATCTCTCAAATCAAATCAGACTGATAAAAACAAAAAAATAAAAATAAAAAATTTACTAATTGAGAAATTCAATGCTTGTACAAGTAAGAACTAAAAAAATTTGTGAAGTGAATTGTATGAGTTAATGGAGAGAAATGAGACATTTGTGCCGCTGTGTTCCTTTTTATACTTGGTGAACTTCAATATTGGGTGTAATTGCTTTTGTCAGACAGTGGAATGGTGGGATTGCGCAAGCATCCCCAACTGTCTCCCCCTTGACAATGAGACACTCGGATTCACAGTAGAGGCTGAGGAGATAACGGCTTTAGAGGTGCCTCATCATTGTACAACCCAGATTAGGTACAACTGTATTTGTCGTCGATCCTCTTCAAAATAATCTAAACCTAACCCTTATCTGCCTACCCCTCAGAGGATATTGACTAAAATAACCTCAAATCATCTGGCCCTAAAATCATGCATAACAATATAAAATTTAAAACTGTTAATCAAATTGAGTTATTCGAACCTGATTTGAATTTAGTTCGTTCAGGTTCAGTTTATTTTTTAAACGAGTTAAAGCTTGAATAAATTTTTAGGTTTGCTTAAAAAATAAGCTCTACAAGTTCGACTCAAACTCGACTCATTTATGTGCAAATATCCGGGCTCAGCTCAGACTCGACTTATTTTTGGCTTGTTCAGGCTTGCTCATTTTCTAAACGAGCCAATCTTGAATGAGTTAAAAACTTGTTTTTCAAGTTCGACCTAAACTCAGTTCGGACTCGTTCGACTAACAGCCTAATTGAAGCCATAAATATGACCCAAAGACGTCCCTCTAAAAACACATACTAGCCCAACCCAATCCCAGCAACTAAGCCTAGACCCCAGAATGGCCCCACAACAAACAAATGGAGAGACTTTGTGACAGATGGATGAGACTTCATGAAAAACCCCACCCGTGGCCACTGAAATTGGTCGGCCTCTTCTACCTAGTCCCAACAAACTTGTAGAAACAAATGGTGTCTCGCTATGGATTTTGATTTGAGACAAGATTAATTACGTAATTTTATAGTCTATTGTATGTGTATGTTTTGAGAAAAGTGATTCATGATTTGTTAATGTATGTCATTTTTTGTAACAAATGGATGATGGATATTGTGTATTGTGGTTAGTTTGGTAGTTGGTACTTCTTGTTAGTTGTGTTGGTTGAAAATAGGATATATGTATTAGTTGTGTTCGTTGTTGGATACATTGGAGTCTTTGGTGAATGGTATAAGTTGTGTTTATGGGAAGTTGTGTTCTTATGTTGTTATTGTGGTATTATGGTTAGTTTGGTATTTCTTACTAGTTGTGTTGGCTGAAAATAGGGTAAATTTATTTGTTGTGTTGGGGGTTGGTTGAAAATAACGTAAATTTTTGAGTTCTATTGGTTGAAAACAGGGTTAATTTATTAGTTATTTTGGTTTTTGATTGGAAAATAGTGATAGGAATCATTGGTGTTTTTTATTGATTGAAAAAAGGTGCCAAATTTTCTTGGAAACTGTTGTTTAAAATCTATGAAGCACAGATACGGATACGAGATACGGGTATGATACGATACTTGATACGGTGATACAATAAAATCTAAAAAAGAAGGATACGAGTACGATCAAGATACGACTATAATAAAATATATTTAATATTTTTATTATTTTTAATCAGCATAATACTTATATATTTTGGTAGTTCTTTAACACAGTAAGAAAAATTTGTAATTCTTTTTAGTTTGAATAAAATATATATTGCATCACTATGGTATATTTACAAAGTGAAGTGATTAATTAAAGGAATCAACGCTAACATTACTTAGTCAGTTTATTTAGAAGTGAATTTTGCTAAAACTATAATGTAATAGATTCATTTTATGCTCTTTTAATATGTAATCGTAGATAATACTTAAAAGAATACTCTTGTGCCTTTGAAGTAGTATGAATTTTTGTAAATGTATTGTATGGTATGTGAATTCGAAATGAAATGTTAAAAATTCAACTCAAAAATTATATATATTATTTGAACACAAAAGTATCCGTAAAGTATGCTAATATTTAATTATTATCGGATACGTAAGAGGTGTATCCGATACGTATCTTTGAGTATCCAACGAGTATCGTATTCGATACGGATACGCCGACCCCAACAAAGTATCCGTGCTTCATAGTTTAAAATAGGTTATTTATAAAAAAAAAATTACTTTTTTGTGACGAAAATTGTTTAGTGGGAAAATGTTGAACATAAATTATATTTTACGACAATTTAAGTTTACGTCGCGAAAGATATTTATTTGCGACATTTTTTCTTGCATTGCGAATAGGGATGGGTAACTTTTTTTGTTAGTTTGACGCTTGAATTTTTTATCACGAATTTTAGTTAATTGCTACGTTTCAATTGCATTGCCAATATATTTATACTCTGATTAATCCAATCTTATTTGTGACAATTTATTTATGTCGCAAAAAATCAATTAAATTATTTAATATTATATTTTTTTTCCAGTGACATCAAAATATAATCTTAACGACATTTTTTTATTTATTTTGAGTGATGTTTATTTTATTTTACGTCACAGAAAGTATGTTTTCGTGACAAGCAGAAAAAATAATTTGCGACTTTTTTTTTTTTTTNAATTCCAAAATCAATTATATTACAACGCTCCATAAAAATAGAACAGTAGCATGTGATGTGTTCATCTCTCAAATCAAATCAGACTGATAAAAACAAAAAAATAAAAATAAAAAATTTACTAATTGAGAAATTCAATGCTTGTACAAGTAAGAACTAAAAAAATTTGTGAAGTGAATTGTATGAGTTAATGGAGAGAAATGAGACATTTGTGCCGCTGTGTTCCTTTTTATACTTGGTGAACTTCAATATTGGGTGTAATTGCTTTTGTCAGACAGTGGAATGGTGGGATTGCGCAAGCATCCCCAACTGTCTCCACAGTGGAATGGTGGGATTGCGCAAGCATCCCCAACTGTCTCCCCCTTGACAATGAGACACTCGGATTCACAGTAGAGGCTGAGGAGATAACGGCTTTAGAGGTGCCTCATCATTGTACAACCCAGATTAGGTACAACTGTATTTGTCGTCGATCCTCTTCAAAATAATCTAAACCTAACCCTTATCTGCCTACCCCTCAGAGGATATCGACTAAAATAACCTCAAATCATCTGGCCCTAAAATCATGCATAACAATATAAAATTTAAAACTGTTAATCAAATTGAGTTATTCGAACCTGATTTGAATTTAGTTCGTTCAGGTTCAGTTTATTTTTTAAACGAGTTAAAGCTTGAATAAATTTTTAGGTTTGCTTAAAAAATAAGCTCTACAAGTTCGACTCAAACTCGACTCATTTATGTGCAAATATCCGGGCTCAGCTCAGACTCGACTTATTTTTGGCTTGTTCAGGCTTGCTCATTTTCTAAACGAGCCAATCTTGAATGAGTTAAAAACTTGTTTTTCAAGTTCGACCTAAACTCAGTTCGGACTCGTTCGACTAACAGCCTAATTGAAGCCATAAATATGACCCAAAGACGTCCCTCTAAAAATACATACTAGCCCAACCCAATCCCAGCAATTAAGCCTAGACCCCAGAATGGCCCCACAACAAACAAATGGAGAGACTTTGTGACAGATGGATGAGACTTCATGAAAAACCTCACCCGTGGCCACTGAAATTGGTCGGCCTCTTCTACCTAGTCCCAACAAACTTGTAGAAACAAATGGTGTCTCGCTATGGATTTTGATTTGAGACAAGATTAATTACGTAATTTTATAGTCCATTGTATGTGTATGTTTTGGGAAAAGTGATTCATGATTTGTTAATGTATGTCATTTTTTTGTAACATATGGATGATGGATATTGTGTATTGTGGTTAGTTTGGTAGTTGGTACTTGTTGTTAGTTGTGTTGGTTGAAAATAGGATATATGTATTAGTTGTGTTCGTTGTTGGATACATTGGAGTCTTTGGTGAATGGTATAAGTTGTGTTTATGGGAAGTTGTGTTCTTATGTTGTTATTGTGGTATTATGGTTAGTTTGGTATTTCTTACTAGTTGTGTTGGCTGAAAATAGGGTAAATTTATTTGTTGTGTTGGGGGTTGGTTGAAAATAACGTAAATTTTTGAGTTCTATTGGTTGAAAACAGGGTTAATTTATTAGTTATTTTGGTTTTTGATTGGAAAATAGTGATAGGAATCATTGGTGTTTTTTATTGATCGAAAAAAGGTGCCAAATTTTCTTGGAAACTGTTGTTTAAAATCTATGAAGCACAGATACGGATACGAGATACGGGTATGATACGATACTTGATACGGTGATACAATAAAATCTAAAAAAGAAGGATACGAGTACGATCAAGATACGACTATAATAAAATATATTTAATATTTTTATTATTTTTAATCAGCATAATACTTATATATTTTGGTAGTTCTTTAACACAGTAAGAAAAATTTGTAATTCTTTTTAGTTTGAATAAAATATATATTGCATCACTATGGTATATTTACAAAGTGAAGTGATTAATTAAAGGAATCAACGCTAACATTACTTAGTCAGTTTATTTAGAAGTGAATTTTGCTAAAACTATAATGTAATAGATTCATTTTATGCTCTTTTAATATGTAATTGTAGATAATACTTAAAAGAATACTCTTGTGCCTTTGAAGTAGTATGAATTTTTGTAAATGTATTATATGGTATGTGAATTCGAAATGAAATGTTAAAAATTCAACTCAAAAATTATATATATTATTTGAACACAAAAGTATCCGTGAAGTATGCTAATATTTAATTATTATCGGATACGTAAGAGGTGTATCCGATACGTATCTTTGAGTATCTAACGAGTATCGTATTCGATACGGATACGCCGACCCCAACAAAGTATCCGTGCTTCATAGTTTAAAATAGGTTATTTATAAAAAAAAAATTACTTTTTTGTGACGAAAATTGTTTAGTGGGAAAATGTTGAACATAAATTATATTTTACGACAATTTAAGTTTACGTCGCGAAAGATATTTATTTGCGACATTTTTTCTTGCATTGCGAATAGGGATGGGTAACTTTTTTTGTTAGTTTGACGCTTGAATTTTTTATCACGAATTTTAGTTAATTGCTACGTTTCAATTGCATTGCCAATATATTTATACTCTGATTAATCCAATCTTATTTGTGACAATTTATTTATGTCACAAAAAATCAATTAAATTATTTAATATTATATTTTTTTTCCAGTGACATCAAAATATAATCTTAACGACATTTTTTATTTATTTTGAGTGATGTTTATTTTATTTTACGTCACAGAAAGTATGTTTTCGTGACAAGCAGAAAAAATAATTTGCGACTTTTTTTTTTTTTTTATGATTTTTTGCGATGAAAAAGCGTCACAAAAAATGAATTTTCTTGTAGTGGTCCCTGACCCGTGACATAGGAGAACCCACCACAATATCTATCAACCCTAACTTACTTCAAGAGTACCCTAACATAATCCACAACCACATTTCAAACAAGCTTTTACCCCAACCCAAGGGGTTTTGAAAAAAAATTTCCAAAAAAATGGTTTGTTTGAAAGTATTTTCCAAACTTATGTCTTTTTAAAAACGTCAGTTAGTCGGACGTTTTTAGGCCAAAAGACGTTAGTTGGTCTGACATTTTTAGCCTAAAAACGTCAAACCAAATGACGTTTTTGGCTTGAAGAGTGACCTTCTAGAACCCTTAAAAATATTAGTCTAATTGACATTTTAATTAAAAACGTTAGTTGTACTGACGTTTTTAAGTTAAATCTGAGCATCATTTTTTTCCCTCCTCTTATTTCCTTTCTCTTATTTTTCCTTCTTCCCCCATCTGAGCCCTAACGTTTTCGGGCGAGAGAAATAGAAATCAGCCTCACCATCTACACCCCCCATAACAGACATTCAATCCACCTTAATCAACAGCCCAAATCAACAAAAGTTACTCCTTCATCAGCACCATCTGAAACCCTTAGCCAACTGCCACTATCGGTCACCCCCAATTCCAAGCACCACCACCATTGCAACATCACCTAGCACCACCCAGCACCACCCACCATCTGAAAGGCCCAACCCTAGCACCACTATCACCACCACCAGTTTCAGCTGCAACCAATGTGTTGCATAAATCATCACCACCACCCCCACCCTCGAAAATCCCCAAAATCCCCTAATCTCCACAAACCCGCAACACCACCCACCACAGACACTCCACTGTTCCTCCATTAATAAGTTCAAAATTAATAGTTGAGAAATTAAATTAAAACAATTGATAATTCAGAGACCATTTTAAAATAAAAAACAAAGTTTAATGACTAATTCTAATATATTTTCTGAATTTAATAAATTGCAGTACTTATTAGATCTATAAAAAACCATAATAATTGTCAAACGTGGCCCTCTTTTCTCTTACGCATATGCTCACGATTGTGCAACTCAATTGTCAGCAACTGTCCAGTCCATACAGAAAGCGAGCCATTATCCCTTCCTTTGTGTCATGCTGTGTTTTTAAATAATGAAAATCGTAACGTTTAAAATTTTGGTTAGTTTATATCATACTCTAGAAGAATCGTAAATACTCAAGTTTGTATTGTGTATAATTCGTGTATAGTTGGACATGCCTTATGTTTTAACTAGATACATTCCAATCCATTCATTTGTTGGATCCCTCTTTTTATCACACAAATCTATTAAGATTAGACCTACATTGACTAATTTTGTATCAATTTCGTCTTGATTTCCTCGCGGATGGTGTATTTTCATCCCTTGTCAACGTACTATTTAATTTTTCTCTAACTTTATGTTTGGTAAAAGCAATTCAATAATACTAGTTGAATCTAATTTGTTGACATAATTCATCAACATCATTAGATAAAATCAACGAGTCTTTGGTCTAATGATACCCCTTCCCTTGTGAATGATTTGTCTTCTTGAAATTAAGAGTTGAAGTATCTTGGGCGATAAAATTATGGTTGATTGATAGAACAAACTTTAATTGTTTGGACAAACCTTATTTAAGTTTCTGTCACGGGTTTGAATCCCCAGTGAAATGCAGGTTCTGATTTAACTAGTATATGGATTGAGAGACCGATTCATACCCCTGAAATTTGTACTATATTCTATTCAAACTCACGAGCATGAGCGACATAAGTGCGCTTCTACTCGTTAGGGACAAACCAGATATTTTTTTCATTATCAAAAAAAAATCATTGAATTAATTATGAGTCCAAACAAATACTGCAGTCCATTATCAACTCAATGATTATAAATAATTAAATTAACAAATTAAATCTAAATAACATTGCTCAAAATAATTATATAATTTCAATGTATAATTTCATGGAGAACCCCGTCGGTTCCACTTTGAATTAATTGACTAGCTTTGGCGTGGTAGGTACCGTCATGTGGCCTGCTCTTCAAAGGCATGAAGCAAGCTCATCTTGAATGTGTCACCTTTTAGTGACCCAATTTCAAAGTGCATGACGAAGTGCAATACTTAATATTGGAATTTGAAATGCATTTTAAAATCGTACGTGCTTAACACAAAGTTCGTAATAGTGAATAATATTAGAGTCATTGATTCTAGTAATATGGAGACCNAATCGTGTATAGTTGGACATGCCTTATGTTTTAACTAGATACATTCCAATCCATTCATTTGTTGGATCCATCTTTTTATCACACAAATCTATTAAGATTAGACCTACATTGACTAATTTTGTATCAATTTCGTCTTGATTTCCTTGCGGATGGTGTATTTTCATCCCTTGTCGACGTACTATTTAGTTTTTCTCTAACTTTATGTTTGGTAAAAGCAATTCAATAATACTAGTTGAATCTAATTTGTTGACATAATTCATCAACATCATTAGATAAAATCAACGAGTCTTTGGTCTAATGATACCCCTTCCCTTGTGAATGATTTGTCTTCTTGAAATTAAGAGTTGAAGTATCTTGGGCGATAAAATTATGGTTGATTGATAGAACAAACTTTAATTGTTTGGACAAACCTTATTTAAGTTTCTGTCACGGGTTTGAATCCCCAGTGAAATGCAGGTTCTGATTTAACTAGTATATGGATTGAGAGAC